GAATCAGCCAGTCGTCTATGCAATTCAGAATGCGTATGCACTGCAGCCTGGCGGGGCCAGAGCTGCATCTACGCGCTTTGTGAATGTGCGGGGTGATAGAGCTAGACCGAAAGGAAGTGCCTGATACTGGTGTTCTTTGCCCCTGAAAGAAACCCTCAGGAACCTCCTGTGCTGAGGGAGGATGGAGATATGGAAGTATGCGTCTTCAGATCTATCGTGACAAACCAGTCCTCGGATCTGATTTGAGTCACGATCTGTTTGAGTGTCAGCATTGGACTTGAGTTCCAGCACCGAACACTTCAACAGACGAAGATCTAGTATGTGACGCAGTTCTCCATCCTTTTTTGGAACAATGAGATAACGACTGTAAAGACCGACGCATGTCGAGTGAGTACACCTGCTCTATAGCTTTTCTTTGCTAACAGGGCCTTTACCTCTTGCTCCATTACCAGAGCCTGCTCGGGATGCACTAACGTGAGCAACACCCCGTTGTAACCTGGAGGACGAGAACCAAATCTGCCTCTTATTACTAACTGCAGGACCCATAGAGATATATTTGGCAGTAGCTTCCGCACTGCCAGAAAATCTACCAAGGGAACCAGCCCCTCGAGGCTGGTCTCTGGTGTAATTGAGACAGCCAGTTAGGGGACCTGAAGCATACTGGCAGGAACCACCCGAACTGACTGTTTTCGAACCCCCCTCAGAGGGCGCGAGTCCGGCGCAATGTCGAGTTGATGCTGCGCCAGAAGCTCGCTGGAGACCGCTGCGCCCCGAAGCACCAAGGGTGGCGGGGTTGGCAGAACGGTCCCCTGAGGGCACCGAGATGGAAAGGGCACCGTATAATGAGGTGTACACCATTTCACCCCGGTTGGGGCTGCCCTCACCAGTCTGACGCCGGTGGCGCCAAGACCTTTTCTTTTGAGCCGAAGCCTTCTCAGCATGAAGAACGGTCCTCGGATCTGGCTTCAACTTTGAAGGCTTTGGCTGTTGTGTTGCGTATGAGAAACTAGACGGCTGGAGCTGCTCACGCCCAGCAGCCCCAGGGGGTTGGACAAAGCGAGGGAGAGATTCTCTTGCATCTTTCTCCATGATTTCCATCAAAATGAGCCAGAGGTGTCTCACAGTGACCACAAGGGCTGCCATAGGCCGCCCAATTGCTCAGGCGGTCTCCTTAGTATCCCTGAGAGATAAATCTGTGGCCCGACGAAGTTCTCAAACCCCCTCACTTCTGTCCAAATACCCCAGCAGGTCAGCCTGAAATGCTTGTAGCACTGCTATTGTGTGCAAGCAGGCTCCTGCTAGACCCACTGCCGTAAATGCTTTTCCCACTAGATTAAAAATAGTTTTCTTTAATGGTTTAGTGAGAGAAAACGACACCTTCAGGGACGATACTGAACCGGGAGACAGATAGCTCGCAAGCGTCTGTTCTACCCGGGGTATTGCCCCATAGCCATACTCTCTTAACCCCCTAATATCTGAATATACATGAACTTGGGGGCTAAAAGACAAAATGGGTAAGGCTTTTTCCATGATCTAGACAGCTCGCTGTGCAGATCGGGAAAAATTGGAAGGCCCCGTGATGGAGGTGAAAAATGAGGGAAGGAAGCTCGTTTAATTTATTTTTAGGACGAGCACCCCCTTATTTCTGCTGGCCATTAAATATTTAATTTATTTACAGCCTTAGTAAACACCTGTACCAACTTTTCATTTTATTTTTATATATATATATATATTTTTTTTATATATATTTATTATATTTTATATATAATATATAAACTATTATATATATATATATATATATATATATATATTTCTCATACGCTGGGGAAAGAGACGGCAAATCCACTTCCCCCATGATTGTGTCACTTTCAATGCCCAGCACATCTACCTCCTCGGAGGTAGAGCACTGAAGCATTGGTCTCTCTCCCCGGGCGGAAGAGACCGCAACGCGGGCTTCCGAGACCGGAGAGAGAGCATTGGATTGCTCGGGAAAGGGAGGAGATAAGATCCGCGGACCCGTCTCCAACCCCGTAAAGAGATCCTATTTTGCGATCCACAGGAATGCATTCTCCGCGCTGCCTCGGCAGACGCGGGTCCTGCACCCTGAGAATCGCGAGCCTGGCCACTTTCCTTGAAAAGTGACAGGCGGGAGCGGAGCATGCGAAGCGATGTTGTTGGCAATCAGCCCCCTCGAAGGCTGACACCGCATGCTCTACTCCCAAACACATCACACAAAGCTCATGTGTGTCCCTACTCGTTAAATAACGCGAACAGGGAGAACACAGAGTTGTGCAATTGTTTCGTTTCCATAGTGTTTATATATATATATATATATATATCAGACAGACAACAGTAAATATAACAGACAGTTTGACACAGATCGCTTGCTGAGGCAACAGAAGCTAATGCTGGTTTGCACCGGATGCTCTTTTATCACTTCCTGGTCATGACGTCACCCGCCCGTGACGTTCATTCCTTCCATTGGACTAGTTGACATAGATGCTTCAGACGCATTCACGCTGGGAGCGTTCCCAAAGCGTCGTTGACGCATCGCGAGTTCCCTCGAAAGGGAACTGTGCTTGTTAAGACATTATTGGATCCTTTCCATAAAACCAGTGCAATTGAGGTACTCCAAAGCAATAAGCAGCAATACACATTTAACTCCAATCCTAAAAGAATGCATGCTGCTGCAAAAAAAATAAAAAAAATAAAAATCTCTTCTAAAAAATTGGTAGACCTGTACTTTTGAGCATACAAGCAGTTTTCTAACCTTGTTTCCGCCACAGAATAAAACATAAAAAAGGCAATTGAGACTTTTTATTGCAGAATTCTGAGAAAAAAATCTGAATTGCGAGATGTGAACTCACAATTGTGATATTAAAAAGTCTCAATTATCTTTTAAAATGTGTTTTATTCCGTGGCTGAAACAAGCTTCCAAAGATTTCTTTATACAGCACCTAAGGATACAAGCATCCTGCAGTCAGCGCGGGATTGGAAGTTGGAAGTGGACCTTGATAAGAAGCTTGTATTTCCCCCAGAAATAGTGGCTACAACACTCCGACCAGACATGGTCCTGTGGTCTCCAACAACAAAACTAGTATATGTTGTGGAATTAACAGTACCATGGGAAGATGGAGTTGAAGAGGCTTATGAGAGGAAAAAATATATATATTCCGACCTAGCAGTTGAAGCATCCCAGAATGGCTGGAAGACCAGTATCTTCCCAGTAGAGGTAGGATGCAGGGGATTTGTTGCTACATCTACCACCAGTTTGCTGAGAAAGATAGGGGTGAAGGGTCGCTGTCTCCAACAGGCCATCAAGTCCATGTCAAGTGCTGCTGAGAAAAGCAGTAACTGGCTCTGGATCAAGCGTAAGGACTCCAACTGTCCAGCAAAGTAGAGACAGATGGTATGCGGTCAGGCTTAGGCCCGACTCAGGGAGAAGGATGCCCCTGCCATGCAGAGCCCATCAGGGATATGGAGGGTATGGCATGGAGGGGGGTGTACCTGGAACGCTGGGTACACTGTCGCCTTATGGAGACGTTGTGGGCTTCAATCAACGAAACGTCAATGAAGCATGGTGCCCACCTGATGACTCCAATGACATACCTTATCCTCCTTTTCACCACTCCACACCGACTGCTACTGTCAAGAGTTTTCTACTAAAGGGATTGAAACATCTAGTCCTATTAGCTTTGCTGGCAAAGATTGCAGCCCCAGACAGCAATGGAAAGCTGTATTTTTCAAAACTTAACCACTGTATATAATAAAACTAGCCCTGTTTCACCCAAGAAGTGAAGCCTCACCATTACTCCCATGAGCCTTCAGTGGAAGTGTTTGATGACACAGAGGGTCAAGGGTAAGGAAGAAAAATTAAGTCATGTGGGAATTTGACTGGTTAAAAGGAACATGATGTAAGCTTTATCTAAATCTCAAGGGTAAACAATGTCCATGTGTGTGAGAAACAGACAGAGAAGCTGTACACAGACACTATAGACTTCTTTTATCCCTCTCTCAGCTTATGGGGAATAAGCAGAACAGGACACTATAGAAAGTGCAATGACTGCCATCCTGCAACGCAGCATACAAACAGTGTGTGCGGAGAACCAGTCTGTAAGTTCACACTTGACTAAACCAAACTGTACATTGCTGTTAATCTACTTAACAGGGGAAAGACAATGAGAATCTATTTCCATGTAAAAGTATGCCCTGGAGTGCAAGTGCCTCACTTGGCCACACCAGTAGATGAGGGGTGGCATTGGCAACATTAGAAACAACTGTATCTTCATCCACGTACCCATGGGCCTGACTGAAGCCACATGTATCTGTCATCCTGTATTCGTTGTACCAATTTATGACCTATGTGTGTATGTGTGTGTGTGTTTGAGTTTTTATGTCCTTTAAATTCCCTGTACATCTCTCTCTCTCTCTGCACCTTAGCGGAGAACAACAAGCTAGTCCCATTACATGAACAGAGGAACAAAAACACTCACACAGACCAACACACACAATATGATTCTAGTTTAAACCTCTCTGCAGGTTAAGAGCTTGATTATAGAGCTTTGGCTGTCAAAAGCCATTTTGGCTTGCAAAAATGGTAAACATGGCAATTTGGGCTTTCTTGTTGATTTGATTCCTGCTTGCTACATGGAGTGGAAGAAAAGCAGAGGGAAATAGTTGATGCTGTTCATCCAGTGATCATGTGGAGATAGATGTTTAGCACTCTAATTCAGTGCTTTTCAGTTTCTAGGATGGACCAACAAATAAATGCATGTAAGGGACAATACAGACAGACAGACAGACAGACAGATGGATAGATAATTGGATGGATGGACTGACGGACAGATGGACAGTGAGTACCTGGTGCTGAATTACAGTGTATCCAAAGGTGTGAAAACACCTAAGGGTGTAATTGCCTGTGTTTCTGTGCTTGAGAGGGCGTGCAGGTGTTGGCAGCTTTTTACACTAATCACAGTTTATGCTCACGGGCTTCCTCTCTTTCACATACACAGACACAACTTACCAAGCCAGTACTCTCCAGTGATTTTGCCAAATCCTTCTCTGTAGGAGTCCCACTCCCTGAAGAAGTTCACAGACCCATCCTCCCTGCGCTGGATCACCTGACACACACACAAAGCATAACAGAATGATGCATAACCAATTAAAATAGAAAATGTGTGATCAAAACCTTTTTAGTGGGTTGCAGGGTAGATATTATGTTTTTTTTTAATGACTGATCTTAATGTGGCTTCACACAAAGGAAAATGTTTTTGAATTAAGTAAAACTACTGTATGAATTCAATGGTCTTCCTCAGAGTAAATCCGTGATAATCGTGGATGGTTAAATCAAACTATCTCAGTAGAGACTGATATGTCACCTGAACAAACATGATAATGGAACAGCTCAGCATCTGATCTTATAAGAATAATATTATTTAATGAGGTAGGATATCTTGATCTAGTCAAAAGTGACTCAAAAGAGTAAAGAGCTTTTTATTAATTTGCGTATAGACACATCCACAACACATACTGTACAGTGCCAAAAGTTTGAGTATCTTTAATCCCTCTAGGTAAGTGGCATGTTTTCAAAACTAATAATTACTTTAATTTGATTGATGCACTGTTTTAAGGCGAGACACTAAAGGCGAATAGGGTCATTTTTTTAACTAGCAGATATCACCATGAAACTTTCCCAGTTGATTACCCACATTAAGATGAGAAAAAAATGTATTACAAGTTTTTTGTAATTTAATGTTTAAATATGCAAATTATGCATCTAATTAAATATGTGCTAATTTGCATATAATGCAAATCTGAGTATTGGATAAAGCCAGGTTCAAAATTCTTTTTTCATTGTGTTCACATATTAGATGGGAAAAAAATACAGAGGGATTTATGGATATCTACTTTTGTTATCCTGTAAATCAGAATATACTGTCAATAGCCTTAAAAAAAATATTTTCGCCATGTTTTTTGGAATAAAATGTTATAAATCAGGCAAGGAATAATATATTTACAAATCCCTCTGTAAATGTCTTCATAATATAACTAGGTACAAGACTGGAAAGTTTAGTGTATATGGGTGCTACTGAAGTGGGGATTTCGGACTTGGAGAAAAGTCATTTTGAGAAAACGGGCTTTAAAGGGCCCCTATTATGCTATTTTAAAGTTTCCTAATGTTGTTGTGGAGTCTCCTACAACATGTTTACATGCATCAAAGGTAAAAAAAAAAAGTTTAATTTCCTCATAATATACTGTGGCAAGGGGGGCGTGGTCCAGCTGGTACTGCAGTGAGAGAGAGAGGTAGGAAACGAGCGGCTTGTAAGTGGGTTAAGTGCAAATGATGAACACCTGTGTCTAATTGCAGTGATTGGTGTGGAGAGACAGGATAAAGAGGATCCACGGAGAATGTTTGAGAGAGAGAGACCTGGGAACTCGTGCACACGGACGGAGACAAGGAGAATTGCTGATTTAAGCAACTTTATTTTATGCTGTATTGAGATACGGTGAAGGCGCTGTGTGCGCAAGCTTTTGTTTCATTTTGAGAAGAGTTAAATAAAAACCACGAGTTTCCAAACTGCCAACCCTGTGTTCTTCTTCCATCCACCACCCCCATCTTGTCAACTTTACAACACTGGTGCCGAAACCCGGGTGTGAAGAAGAACGAGGCCCGCCGCCAACATGTCCGTGCCAGGATCGCCGTTTGCGGAGGTAATTCAATCTCTCGCGGGGCTGCACCAGGAACAACACCAAGCTCTGCTGGGCCTCAGGGACGATTAGGAAAGATGTTTCCGGGTGATTGTCCAAGCCCAGCAGGAGGACCGGGAGTTGTTCCGGGGCTGGATGGACCGGGAGGTTCGGGCCGCGGGACCACCATCGACCCCGCCCCAGCATATGCCTCTGCAGAAGATGGGCCCTCAGGACGATCCTGAGGCATTTTTGGATTTGTTTGAGAAGTCCGCAGAGGCATGTGGGTGGCACCAAACGGACTGGCCAGTGCGGCTCATTCCCTTGCTGTCAGGGGAATCCCAGATCGCCGCACAGCAGCTACCAGTCGCCAACCTCCTGGTCTATGGAGATCTTCGATGCGCCATCCTTCAGCGGGTCGGCCGCACCCCCGAGGAACATCGACAACGCTTCCGATCTGTGGAGCTGGGGGAAAACGGCCGACCCTTTGTGATGGCGCAACAGCTCCGGGACGCCTGCCGCAGATGGCTGATGGCCGAGGGGAGCGACGTCGATCACATCCTCGACCTGGTGGTACTGGAGCAGTTCGTCGCCCGTCTGCCAAGGGAAACTGCACAATGGGTCCAGTGCCACCGACCGACGTCGCTGGACCAGGCCATCCACCTGGCAGAGGATCAAATGGTGGCGTGCCCAGGGGTTGGCGGACCCCTCCCATCTGTTTCTCTCTCCTCCTTTAAACCTATCCCTTTACCCAGGTCCCGGCCAGGTGCCCCGCCGCGTCCGATGCCCCGCTGGAAAAGTGGACCACCAGCAGGACTGTCGGCTGGCCAGCGCGCACCGCCGAGGGGCTCGGGACCACCCGGCGGGTTTTCTATGTCTGGCTCTCCACCTCCTCTCTCTCCACATCAATCCCTTAACCCACTTTCTACCACTAGGGCGGCGGGTAGGCCTGGGCCGGCCTGTCGGCGGTGTGGGGACCCAGGGCATTTTATTGACCGGTGTCCGGAGATGGAGGTGGGGACATTAGTCCGGGTCCCGGACACTCCACAGGCTGCCCCCGATCAAGCTGGCCTGTACCAAGTACCTGTGAGTATTAAGGGGGGTACTTATCAGGCTTTGGTCGATTCAGGCTGTAACCAAACCTCAATACATCAAAGCGTGATTCAATCGGGGGCATTGGATACGAGCCGCATGGTTAAAGTACGGTGTGTGCACGGGGATGTGGTGAGTTATCCTATAGTACCAGTGGATATTCAATTTCGGGGACAAAAACATAGGGTGGAGGTGGCGGTTAATCCACACCTCCGACATCCGCTCATTTTGGGAACCAATTGGCCGGGTTTTAGGGTATTATTGGGATATTTAGGTGCGGATGTCTCTTGGGAAAATATAGAGCGGGGAAGGGGGGCGGTCACTCAGGTGGGAGAGACTGAACCAGGACCACTGGTTACTGATTCAGGGGAACGGAGTGCTATCGAGAGAACCATTCTTACACAGCACGATGATTTTCCCCTGGAACAGTCCCAGGATGAAACGCTCAAAAACGCTTTTGAACAGGTCCGTTCTATCGATGGTCAGCTGCTCCAACCGGATCGACCGCTCGTCTATCCTTATTTTGCTCTGATAAAGGATCGGTTGTATCGAGTGACCCAAGACACTCAGCTCAAACAGGATACAACCCAATTGTTGGTACCAAAAAGCCGTCGGGAAATGCTTTTCCAGGCGGCTCACTGTAATCCAATGGCTGGTCATTTAGGACAAGCGGCGACACTAAACCGTCTAATGACTCGATTTTTCTGGCCGGGCATTCATGAGCACGTACGCCGGTGGTGTGCGTCGTGTCGTGAATGTCAGTTGGTTAACCCACCGGTCGCTCCAAAAGCACCTTTGTGCCCTCTCCCTTTGATGCAGGTCCCCTTCGAGAGAATTGGTATGGACCTCATCGGGCCATTAGAACGGTCTGCACGTGGGCATCGCTTTGCATTAGTTCTAGTGGACTATGCAACACGATACCCGGAGGCAGTGGCACTCCGCAGCATCTCTGCGAAGAGTGTGGCGGACGCCCTGTTTCATTTTATCTCCCGGGTGGGAATCCCAAAGGAGATTCTCACCGACCAAGGCACGGCGTTTATGTCACGGACTCTCCGCGAGCTGTACGAGTTATTGGGCATTAAATCGATTCGCACCAGCGTCTACCACCCACAAACAGACGGACTGGTGGAACGATTTAATCGCACTTTGAAAACCATGATTCGTAAGTTCGTTCACGAAGACGCCAAAAATTGGGATAAATGGCTAGAACCCCTCTTGTTTGCTGTGCGCGAGGTCCCGCAAGCCTCCACTGGGTTTTCCCCATTCGAGCTTCTCTATGGACGCCAGCCCCGCGGGGTGCTGGACGTCCTGCGAGAAGCTTGGGAGGACGGACCTTCGAACAGTAAAAATGAAATTCAGTATGTCCTGGAACTGAGAACAAAACTCCACACTTTGGGGCGGCTCTCCATGGAGAATTTGTTACAGGCTCAGGACAAACAAAGCCGGCTATACAACAGGGGAACTAGATTACGCGAATTCGCACCGGGAGAGAAAGTTCTCGTATTACTTCCCACTTCTAGCTCGAAATTACTCGCAAAGTGGCAAGGACCGTTTGAGGTCACACGGCAAGTCGGAAATCTCAATTATGAGGTGGTTCGCACAGACCGGTGCGGGGCACATCAAATTTACCATCTCAACCTCCTTAAAAAATGGAATGAGGCGGAGTCAGTGATGCTGGCGACGGCGGTGAGCGGAGAGGAAGATCTCGGGCCAGAAGCAAACACAAAACCTCAATCTTTGGCTCTGGTTTCAGGAGGAGATCACCTCTCGCCGTCCCAGCTCACTGATGTAGCCAAGTTGCAAGCAGAATTTGCGGATGTGTTCTCGCCCCTGCCTGGTCGAACGGACCTCATTCAACACCACATTGAGACAGAGCCAGGTGTCGTAGTGCGCAGCCGGCCATATAGATTACCTGAGCACAAAAAAAAGGTTGTTCAGTCTGAATTAGAGGCAATGCTAGAAATGGGGGTGATAGAGGAATCCAACAGTGATTGGGCGAGCCCGATAGTTTTTGTACCCAAAACGGACGGCTCCGTCCGATTCTGTGTGGATTACCGCAAGGTGAATGCTGTGTCGAAATTCGACGCCTATCCAATGCCACGTATTGACGAATTACTTGATTGGCTGGGTACTGCTCGATTTTATTCGACACTGGATTTAACTAAAGGATATTGGCAGATCCCCTTATCTCCTCTATCCAAAGAAAAAACCGCTTTCACCACGCCGTTTGGATTACACCAATTTGTCACTCTTCCTTTCGGGTTGTTCGGGGCTCCGGCCACTTTTCAGCGGCTCATGGACCGGATTCTCCGGCCCCATGCTGCATATGCCGCTGCTTACT